ATTATGAAATGTCTGTTCTGGATACTACCACGACTCTCGAGGTTTTAGCTGCTCTTACGGAGACGCTGAAAAGTGGCTCGAAGTGGAACTTTATGCCGGAACTGACATATCTTCAGAAAAGGTAAAAAGTCGATCTTCAACCAAAGTGTACCGTTGGGACAAGCTGGTCCAAAGGAGCGTGCATGTTCTGGTTAAAACAGACAAATTCCCTCACACATCTCTCTCAAGATAAGCTTCATCTTTCCATCTTTAAAATTCTTCTATCTGCTAAAAATCATTACAGATATTTTTAGAAATGTCTAAAGCAAAGTTTTTCAATAACAGCCGTGTGGTTGACGTCTGCTGTTCTTCTGGAAGTGAGAACAATCGCCGCATTGTTTACTTCCTGTAAAACTGATTAATAAGCTGTCGTTATTTTCAATTTTGCCAATTAATGTAAATGTGTGATGTGTTAAACTTGATTCTGTTAATAAATGACCCACTCGTTTGTGAGTCAAAGATAATTAACGTCTCACGTCCACATTTTTAATTGTTCAATGCACGTACATTATACAGTCCAGAAAAATGAAAGAATACGTTTAATCTCATGAATATATATCAGCATATGTTCATTCTACATACTGGTGGCCCGTATAAATTCATAAAATGGACTGTATTCGCGTAACAATTGAATATCATGTTGGCATGAAAATTAAAAAAAAAAAGTGCAGAGCAGCTGCTGTGAAACGCAGCGAGCTGAGCTGCGATGCTTGGAGAAAATATAGCATGTTAGCAGCTAGTGGTGTCTTGAAAGCTGATATTGGGAGTCAATGTGTCTGTTTGGGAGCTGAAATTGTACATCTGTTGTGTAACATAAGCTGGGTTTGAGTTAAAACGCTTTATTCTGTTTGAACGGACGGAGATTCTGCTGCCGACCCGGTTGGTCCGGTTTGGTTCTGCTAACTTCGAACGAGTTGTTTTAAATAGATGGAGAAACGTTTTAAGGACTGGGCAAAGTCTCAGTGAAGCTTTCAGAGCTTGATTCGTTACATTTTTAACAGAAAATGGTACATTTTGACAGTTTAAAAGACGAAAGGTTGGCGGACTAGTTCAGGCTAATGCTACATGCTAGCTGGAAAAACGATGCGTGATTGGTTGAAATCAGCTGCTGTGGAGCCCTCTGATACGCTGAGAAATGAGTGACGTGTCTGTCGGCACTTCCTCTGACGTGTCAGGTCGTAAAGCCCACCCCTGCGCTGTTATGATTGGTAAATTCAGTCACGTGACCCGGAAATGAGCTCGGTTGCAACCGAAGCCTTTTCTGTGCTTAAAAACACTAGATAAAACTTGCCACATGTCCCCAAAAAACTCATGTTCATGCAAATAAGTCGTGCTTGTTGAAACAACGCCACGTTTTAGCTTGAAATCCGTTCAGAAATGTTGATTTGACCGAGTTTTAGCCGAAGCTAACTTTAAGCTAAGCGGCTAACAACAGGATGTCAACAGAACGTTCACAGGAAGTTGTCATAAGCTCCTGCTGGTATAAAGCTAAACACTGCCCCCTCCTGTGGAAACTTGATATCACAGTTTCACTTCGTTTTAGGTTATTTTGAGTGAAATTAAACGTATTTATTTCTGTAAGACGAATTTTTGAGTTAATAAACTTTCCTCAAGTTGAATTATCACTGTTATCTTGCATTTAAAAAGTGATTAAGGTATTTATGCAGAAAGGCATTTACCAAAAACTTTTATTCACTGGTAATTCCTCATGAACGTTCCTCAAGCTGAATAATCACTGTTATCTTGCATTTAAAAAGTAATTAAGGTATTTATGCAGAAAGGCATTTACCAAAAACTTTTATTCACTGGTAATTCCTCATGAGAGAGGTGCAAAATAAAAATTAGAAACTTTTTAAAAGATACAGATACAGATATTCACAGAGTAGATACAGAGGTGCAAAATAAAAAATTAGACACTTTTTAAAAGATACAGATACAGATATTCACAGAGTAGATAAAGTTTACTCATTTGCTAGAAAGATAATGCACGTTTAATTGCTAGATCATTAAATAAGAGTAAATATATCAGAAAAAAATATACTTTTCTGATTTTATTTTACCACCTAAAACAATTACATCTTCTTATTTAATTTTTAAATAGAAGATATTGGCAGGAGAACAGGAGTATAACAGTTTTTCTGAAGAAAGACTGATTATTCCTCATCATCAATTTTCTTTTCTCTTTTCACCCAACCTGGGTTGATGAGTAACTGTTAAAATAGCAAATTCTGAAATAGAACGGTTTAAAAAGTGTCTTTAAACTGATGTTGCTGTGAGACTTTTTAGAAAAATTGCAGGTTTATAAAAATTCAGTGCTTTAGAGTAAGAAACACTGAGAAGCTTGGTAATCTAGTATCTGTTAAAAAATAAGCACATTACAAGTAACACTGCAGGAAAGCATTTACTTAAATATTCATGAATTGGGGTAAAACCTACAAGACAGGTGCCTATTCCTCTGAATAAGTTGACTTATAACGGTACTTTTGTGTAAACCCAGAGCTTAAAATAGTGTGAAACTCATTGACACTTGAATACAAATATTTACCTGTAAAATATCTGAAGCTGGCAACTGTTTTAAACAGATAAAGTGCTACACAGTGAATACCATGGCAGGTGTGATGGGAAAAGATTTTGATCCTTATGAGATGAAGGGCTGTTTAGAGAAAGCGTTGAAGTTGCTGACAGCATCCTTACATCCATATGGCAAACAGGCGGACAGCATGAACCCAAAAGAGTTATTGGACAATCTGATGGAGGTTGCAGAGAGTGTGACCTCTACAGAAATTACAATGTCAAGCTATGAAAAGCTGGCTAAAATGGCAATGTTGCTGAAAGAATCATACTTTGCATTAAGACGGGATCACGTCGTGACAGTGTCACAAGTTTCCCGCTGCAAAGGTGAAATAGATGTGCTTAAAAAAGATCTGCACAAACGCGAAGTGCATAAAGAGATATTACTGGAAGAATATATGCGTTTACTAAGTGAATGTCAAATATCACAGGAACGCTTAAAAGCATGTGAGGAGAAACTAAGAGCGGCAA